CCCCCAATTTATTTTTAACTTATGAGGGATAATATATGATTATATACATTTGAAAGGTTAAACAAACACCCTATGACCCTCTCCCTAAAAGATGAGCTCTGATACCAAGCATAATACTGAAGATCAATTTTTGCTAATGAGGTCCATGATAACTGACCCACAGTGTTAAGAAAAAGTTTTAGGCTTGTCCTTAATTTGCTGTACGATCATCCTGTTGTTAGGCAAAAACCAAAGATATTGCAGTCATACAGATGGAATCATAAAGACTTTATGACTGTCAGCAATAAAAACAGAAATGGATTTCTTGAGTTTTCCACTTCCCATTCCTCTTCAGTCTGGACTCAGTCATGTAGATGAAATTTTCTACAAGAAAATAAACCAGATATGCTGTAACTCTAACACTTTTCTTTGATTTCTCCCTTTGAATGGCACAGATAGGAAGTATGGTTTTGGGCCTCCCGCTACAAGAAATACATTTTGGTGCTGGAGTGTGTCCAAAGAAGAGCAACAAAGCTGGTAAAGAGTCTAGAGCACGTCTTGTGAGGAGCAGTTGAGGGAACTGGGGTTGTTTATCCTGGAGAAAAGGAGGCTGAGGGGATACCTCATTGCCCTCTACAGCTCCCTGAAAGGAGGTTATAGCGAGGTGGATGTTGGTCTCTTCTCCCAAGTAACAAGTGACAGCACAAGAGGAAATGGCCTCAAGTTGTGCCAGGGCAGGTTTAGACTAGATATTAAAAAAAATTTCTTCACTGAAAAGGTTATAAAACATTGGAATAGTCTGCCCAGGGAAGAAGTGGAGTAACTATCCCTTCGAGGTATTTAAAAGATGTGTAGATGTGATGCTTAAGGTCATGGATTAGTTGTGGACTTGGCAGAGTTAGGTTTACAGTTGGACTCAATGATCTTAAAGGTCTTTTCCAACCTAAATGATTCTATGATTTTATCCAGTCTAATTGATTCAGCACTGAAAGGCAGGAACAGAAATAAAATTACTTTTGTGTTTCTCACTGTGAAATAGGTAGAAGTCATTTTCATCTCATGGTACAAAATAATTGTAAAAGTCCCTATTAAATCTTCAGATTTAAAAAGATTTAAAACTTCAGAGCAACAACAGTTCAGGCCTATTACTCTGTAGTTTTGTTTATCAGATGGTATGACTTATGTGTGAATGCTTGCCAACCTGTACATTTCTGCCAGCAAAGCAAAGATAAAAATTAGAAAGTGCTCTCTGTATCTCCTCAAGCCAGGATGACCATGCTTTCCTAGTCCATAGGAGTCAGGCTGTAACTATCAGGCTGAGTCACATGTTTACCCAGTGCCAAACTCGGTTTGAAGCACCACTGACACATGAATTAAATTAGCCACCATCTGTAGGTAAACAAAATCGTAAGAAGTATGCTCATTTTCTTGTTCTTCTCACTGCGCAAGCTCCTTTAATACTAAATGGTCAGGTATTTTTCTTGTACACAGTTTAAAAAAATGTAAGAGTAATGCAACTTATTCTACTACACGTATCTCTAATCCAAACTTCCTTCAAGAATTTGACAGTGGAATTCTCCCCTAAAATCCTACCATTCATTGCATTGTATTCTAAGCAACTGCCCAGCCAACTGTATAAATTTGATATATTCATATATGTATGCACACATATATATATGTATATATAATGTATACATAGCTAATTTTGGGACGAAATGTATGACTCATTTCTGGTTTTCTCCCCTTATTATTATTTTTTATTTATCTGCTCTGCCAATCAGCAAGCCGCTCTGTTCCATTACTGCTCTTAGAGACAAATCTACAGCCATTTGAAAATGGTGAGTTACACATCTCTACCCTCAGTTCTGTCCCCTGGGCTACTTCTGCCAGACAACGGGACAGCAGCACAGATATATCTGAGGCATCTGATAGGGAAGAAAGAGTTCCTGTGCAGACATGAAGAGTCACATGAGGGAATCTGAACCTGTGTCATTTTATCTATTTCAGCATAAATCATACATTCTTTGTTCAACAGCATTTAAATAATGTAGAATACGTTCTCTTTTCCTGTACTTGCTAGGAAACCTCCATTTAACATTTATTCTTTAAACCATAAGTAAGAATCTGCATAGAAATCAGGATACTGTATGAATATCTTTTTATGTGTTTTCTCCAAATTTTATGGAAAACAGAGGGGGAAAGGTAAGCATGATCACTATCTTTTCCAACTCCTCCTTCCACCTTCAAGAGAGAGAAAAAAAACCCACCTAACATCTCTTTTGCTGACTGACTTTCTATCTTGAACACCACACCTCATATACTTTTACTTCTCCAATATAATAAAGTGAATTGATGTTCAATATAAACATGATATTAGATGTGCATTTTAAATGGTCTGAATCCTGCAAACACTGTGATCTGCACTATTTTCAACATCAGGCTTCCACTCTGCTTTGGACTAAAGTGTCAGCATCACAGAAAAGTAATTTTAACAAGTTTCCTTAGTAACTAGAATCTCTGCAATTCCCACAGTAATTGGGATCTCTGGGTTGGTATCTATTTACAGATAGAAATAAATAGGGCATAACTGAAAAGGACTGTGCAAATTAATACAGTGCAGTAAAATGAAAACTTGTGCATACATCTCCTCCCCTAAGCTCTGCTCGCTTTGAGGTTGTCAGAAGAATTTAATGTTCCTTCCTCTGATCTTGTCATTCCTTCGCTTTAAATTCTCTTTACTGTGCCATCTTTTCTCCTTGCCTTTCAGTCTCAGTCATCCCAATATTCACTAAGTTGCTAGCTAACAAAATTGTTCTTATTTTACTTGCCCACTAGGTACTTTTTATTCTTTCTCTGTATTGTCTTTTGTAGCTGGGAGAACATCTTGATAAAATATAAAGCCACTTAGCCACTTGCTTTCTGCAAAACTATCTAAAAATTCCTCTTTATTCTAATGTCTCCAATAAGCAACTAATGAGAGGTGGTGAACAAAAACATTTACCTTTATGTATTTGATAAAACAACAGGAAATGTATCTAAGGGGAAAGAGAAACAATAAGGTTAAAAACCCCATGCACTTCCACATGAAAATCTTCTCACATTTTGTTACTTCACTTCTTCTATGCTGATTAAAAGTAATTGAGACAATGTTCACTTTGTTCATTGGTTCTTTCAAAGAAAAGAAACCCAGCAGTAAATCCTCAGCTTTAAGTAGCCGTATTTGTCATGCATATTTTGCAAAGTACATATCGCTTACATGCCTTGCTTGCATCCAACCCTGTGTGACCATGCCCGCCACAGGTTATGTGCTGACACATCTTTCTTCAGTTTCTGATAAAGCAAAAGCCACCTGTGGAGTCACTGCTGGGTATCACTGGCTACCTGCGTTATACAACAGACTTTTTCCTGACCTGCTTATGAAACCAAATGGGCTGCTTTCTAACCAGGGAATTAATAAGGGCATCTTTCTTTTCCTGATTTGCCCATTTGCTTTTCTCTTTCTTTCCACTGTGGGCAAATTACATGCTTTTCTTGAAACAACCTACTAGTGAGGATACAGGAAAAATATCAAGTGAATCTTACTGGAAAGACATCAGTTCTTAGATTTTTAATCATACAAGTCTATGTTTGATCCACTGCAGTGAGGTCTGTCTGTTCTCTAGAAGGTTATTCTCTTTTTTTATTAAAAATTATATCCACAGTCTAAAGTCAGGCAGTGCCATATGTAAGGCCTATTATTTCTGAGTATTTTAATATTTGTAAATTTTCACTTGTCATCCCAGATTTTTTAACAGAAAAGAAATACCTGAGATATTGTCTTTAATAAGAATAGATTAATTATATTTTCTAAATATTTAAGAATTATTTAAGAGAAAAAAACTAATTGGAGATTAATCCAGTCAGGCCAATAAATAATTGTTAGTGATAAAGATACTCTGCTAATGATAAATACACAAAATAAAAAATATTTTTTGTTATTGCTAAAAACTTTTTTCACTGTAAAACTGTAACATTGCAAAAGGAAGACTAAAAAGAAAGAGAAAGAAAGTACAGGGTAGAATTACAAAGGAAAACTAAAAGTGGATATTAATGGGCTAGAAAAATGCTGTTATAGTGCCTCTTATTTCTATTTTCTTTTGCATGAATCCCAGGGTAGTATTTTAAGATATAGCTTTTATTACTGATTTTAAGTGGAAACAAACTTGCCAGGTCCTATTGTAAAAATAACAATTCAGTGGCATTTTTTCTGCTTCTCTGTTAGATCAGGCACACTACAGGTTGTACGTAGTCAGGTAGATACCACATAGAGGACTGGCAATAATGAAGATCTGTGCTTCCTGTCCTGAAAAAGGCCACAGGATTTTAGTTACTGGTGGGTGTCATCCTGGTGGGTTCTTGGGCAGATCTGGATATTTTGTAGTTGTTACTTATTAGAAATGTCAGGCCAGCATCCTAGTGCTCCGAAGTCAGGGAAGTGATCTACTGCAGTTTGTCCTGCCAGCCAAGAGGTTAGTTGGCTTTTACTTTTTTTCTCTTACCTTATTCCTTTACTTGTGCGGAATAAGAAAAGATTACCTCCAGTTACACCTTCTCAAATCGTGATTCCTTACTAGGGATCTTAAATAGACTGGCTAGAACAGATAAATCCTCCTTGCTGGCAGAAATTACGTTTATGTTAAAGTGGACACCTGAGTAATAAGGCTTTCCTGAAGTCCATGAAGCCATGCCCTACGTGTTAGAACATGCACTTTGTGTTAGCTGGCTGGGGAAACTGGTGGGAAGTCAGCAGGACTGAGGTGTAGACTTCAGCCTTTGGGTACAGCAAAGTAATCCCAAGGACTAGTTCCCTTGGCATTCCATGTTACCTTCTCCTGTTATGCCTCAGGGCACGCTCGGAAGCTGCAGCAAAGTATGGCCAGGGAATTTGGGCCCAATGGTGCTGGAGGTGGTGCTGTTGACTAGACACTGGACATGACACCTCTGTGCCCTGACCCCTTTCTGTTGTAGGTGCCTTCCACAGGAACTTCAGGCAAACTCATCCTGGAGTTACTTGGCACTTTGGTAAGGATCACAGAATTTTGCATGAAACAATAACTGTGGGCAAACAGTTTGCATTTGTTTAGGAAAAAAGGGCTACTTATTTCACAACAGACCATGGCAAAATACTTTTTTTTTTTTTTTTTTTTTTTTTTTACATGGTATTTTCATGCATATCTTGATCACAGCCATTATATGGTGTTCATTGAGTTTATTCTAGGAAGTGAGAGCAAGCTTTTATAATATTCCTCACTTACAGAAAAAAAAGTGAAAATCATATATTTGGAACAGTTTTCTGGTAGTAAAGGGATCTTTTCACTGAATATTTTTTATTTCCCTCAGTAGGA